GGAACTTTGGACATCGCAAAATACCATCATTACGCTTTGAATGTTCCTCTTTATACTCATTTCACTTCACCCATTCGCCGTTACGCAGACGTTCTTGTTCATCGCATGCTCGAAGCTGCATTATCTGGTGGTAATACATCAATAGTTATTTATTATGATCATTATCATTACCGAACCACCCAGTATTTTTCGATTTTAACTTATCATCTTAATAATATATGAAATAATGCAGAAAAACGCTTTTATCTTGACAAAGATGCGGTTCAAAAAACTGCACAGTACTGCAATGTTAAGAAGGAAGCGGCCAAGAATGCTCAAGAACAAAGCAACCATCTCTTCCTCTGTGTCTTACTTCATAATCTTACTATCCAGCATGGTCCTGTAATACGTGAAGCTATAGTGATTGGTGTTAAAGATCACGCATTTGATGTCTTGGTACCTGTCTTTGGCATTGAAAAGCGTGTCCATTTGGATCAACTTCCATTAGAAAAATTTGTATTTAATGAAGAAACAGACCAACTCACCTTGTATTGGAAACCAGGAGTTAGCTCTCTTGAACCAATTTCCGAAGACTATGGAATTGGTGAGGATGAAGAAGAGGGGTTGGATGTTGATGAGGAGGCATTACTTGCAGACGTTAATGATGATTATCACTATGAAATGATGGATATCAACAGTCTTCGTATTGAAGATGAGCATAGGTTGTTCGATGCTAGTTCTGATATTGGTGATGATGATGATATTGAAGATGAAGACGTTCACAACACTGGTGACGAAGAAATTGATCATAACGGTGACAATAATATACCCGTTGCTAGTGTTTCTCCAATGTCCTCTGAAGCTCCCACAATACATATCTCAAGTTCCGAAACCGCGCCATTCGATCAAGCTTCACTTACAAAAGTTTCACCTCCAACTGTTAAGATCACAGAGATTCCACAATTACCCATAGATGTAGATCCATCCATTCCTAACTCTCAGATTATCCGAGAGCTTTGCTATCTTAATGTTGTAATTACTGCGGATTGTAAAAAGAGTCCGCCAGTTATTAAAGTTTTGGCTGTCAATCCATTCGCGTAAAGTTATCGAAAT